CCCAAACAGGATGTGTTGCTACAAGTTCGGGAAATTGACATTGATGTTGCGTGGCTGCACTGTGTTAAAATATCGTCATATGAAAAACTTCCATGCATGGCTGTGTGATATATTCATTCTGAAGCTGAATTAAAGTAGTAGGCTAACTCGCAAATAAACATGTGAGTTTGTTAATAAACCGGCAGGCACAACAGTGATAAACTACTTTTGCGAGGGAACGCAAAAGGTATTGCGAGGTAACGCAATACTATTGCGTGGGAACACAAAAGAAAAAAAATCTCCCATGTCCCCTCGCGTGCTCCGTACCTGGAAGAGAGAGAGGAAACTTTTTTTTCAACCAAGAAAAACTTATCCAGAGGACATACTTAACTTTTTAAAAATTACTTGCTGAAAGTCTGAGCTTTTTAGCCTGCAGTAACTGTAAATTTAGCCCTGCTTTAGGTAATTACATCTGCATTCCATTCATAGAGRTTTTGGTGTTTCTCAGGAAACAAGGGTGTTCATCAAGATGACATTGCATTTAATTAGCTGCATTTTACACCAACAGTCACCAAAAAGTAATCACTTCATAAATACAGTGACATTTGGTGGACACACGCTTGGAGGCTAATACAGTTGTATCCATGTGTTCTCATTTAACTGATACTTTTGTGTCTCATGTCGTTCAATGTAAATTCTCACAAATTACACAATTTACAGCTTTATAATATACATTTTTAAATAAATAACTGATTGCACATCAAGGAAATAAAGTTTTATAATTTTTTTTACAATTTTTTAACTCTGAGTTTAGCTCAGCTGAGGATTGCAAGAATAACAGTCAATTGCAGCTGCAATAAATATATAAGTGATCTCTGAGGTCTGCTGGACCTGTTACCTCATTTTGGACCTGTTACCTCATTTTGGACCTGTTACCTCTGCAACACAACCTTGAGGAGTCTATGATGGTGATTTACCTGTTTCAGAGCTCCTTATCCCTATTGTCTTTACCATTAAAAGTATTAATAACATATACCAGCATTCTATCCATCAGTGATTCAGACTACTTTGACATAAATGTAACTCTATTTACATTTCAACAACAAGTGTGACAATCTACTGATTATTATGCATTAAACCCAAACAGAGCTCCACTTGTTGCTGAACAAATCACAGCAGCGTTTAGCAAAATACTTGGGCTATTAGTTTTGTTCTTTTTATCTTGTATAAATTAACAGCAGGCAGAGAACTGAAACAAATCAACACTCAGTCTTGCTTCTTTTAGCAAAGGTAAAAAAAAAAAAAAACAGGGTACTAAAACAGCAACCTAATACTTTGTAGATCAAGAAATATTTTTCCTGCAGCTTTGTGCAATGAATGAACTGAACGTGCCTCTTATTTGAGCTACTATTCATTTATTGCTCCAGATTACATTTGAGTTACAGGGTGCACCCTGCCTCTCACACAATGACTCCTAGCACAATCCCCCTGACACTGTGGGAAAAAGTGGGTAAAGAAAATGGATGGATGTTCTAAATAAAAAGGAGATAAATCCCCATAAATATTTCTGCAAAAACAAACAGTATATTAATAGATGTGTACCAAAATTACTTTAAAAAATCTAATTTGGGCAAAGTACAAACAGGAAATCATCACAATGAGCCTTCAGTAAAACTGTTTGAGGCACTGTTAGTGTAAATACAAACTGAGTGATATCTCATGAAGTTATTTAAAACAACAATGTCATATAAAATGTGATTTCACAGTGCAGCAGAATACATGACTATATAAACTGAATCCAGGCCCTTAATAAACCTGGGAATTTGATGTGTGTGATAAGTGTCCACATGATGGCAGTGTTCCATCACTTCTCTTTCTGTTAGAGTGGAAGCAGCAGTGGGTGAAGAAAAGGTGATGTTACAACTAAAAACTAGCCTGTCAACTTTCTGTTCAGCCATGTCCCCGGGATAAATAAGTGTCCTCTTMTGCTAGTAGTTTTTCACTGGAGGGGAACGTATGTTACATAATGCCTAGACAAAACAGGAACAACAGGAATGACATGTCTTCTGGTTAACAATGACACGAGATGGACTTTCTCTGTGTGTGCTGGAAAAAAAAAAAAAACCTCTTTTGTTCTGTGTCATGAATGCCAACACACMAAGAGAAA